GGCCTGGGACTGGCCGGGTCTCTGGCCTCCTGCTTGTCTAGGTTCCCAACTGGGACCGCTATGCTACCTTGCTCAGGAACAATTGCTCTTAGGTGCCCAAGGGCTATTTACTTTAGCAGAAAAGGGAGAGAGAGAGAGAGGGTCTTTGAGGGTGCAGTAGTCTTAGAAGAACAAAGCTTTAGCAATCTATAGCAGAGCTTAGTAATCTTCAGCCGAGAGACGCCATGCTGGGGTTCTGCAGGCAGGAGAGGAGACGGAGTCAGAGTAAGCCGGTCCGTGAGAGAATGAGCTCACACTCCCAACTGCCTTCTCCTCCAGCCTAATATAAGGCTGATTGCGTGCCTCTTAACACTACAGGTGTTAAGACTTCCAATTCACCAATGCTCTATCTCATGAGCTCTCTGATGCTTCTTAGGAGAGCTAAATCCCTCCCCATGCCCTTTTCACCAAAGTGTTCCATTACTGAGCTATGGGTCTTTTTTTTTTTTTTTTTTTTTTTTACTTGAGACAGAGCCTCAAGCTGTCACCCTGGGTAGAGTGCCTAACTCTCACTCCTCCTAGCCATAGGCTATACAGGCTGCTACACAGCCTCCCAGACTGCCGGGATTACAGGTGTGAGCCACCACGCCCAGCCTACAGCTGCAATTTGTGCAGCCTTCCCACAAGCCTACTGCAGTCTTCCTGCTAAACAAGTATTTTAGTTTGTCCTATATCATCGAATCATGATTTAATCCATTAGTCATTACACGTTCAATTAATATTCAAACACAATTTGAAAAATAGCATTTAAAAAACAGGTAACATTGAATTCTCTTAAAATCAGACATTTAAAATAGCATAGTATGCTTTCACACTAAAACAGTATTTAAAGTCATTTGGCCCCATCATAAAACAGAGTTGAAGATTTATGTTTAAGTGAAAGCATCTGTCAGTGGAAGTGAGAAGCCAGATAGAATAGCATTTGTTTCCTTTTGTGAGCTTTGTTCGTATTCCACTTCTAAGAAACTTGTCCAGCCCATGCTATGGGTCAGGCACTGGGCCTACAGGAGCTGAGTTCTCCTTAGTCATTGTCACCATGCAGGAGTGCCAAGTTAGTCAGTATTACCCAGTCTTCTGACTGCTCAAGAGAAATTTTGTGTGTGTGTGTGTGTGTGTGTGAAATTGGCCAATTTTGGAATATTGCCATACATTCAAAAGTTTCTAGGTCATTGTGACGGCCACAACCAAGACGGGACAGGGATCAAAGGCTATTGGCTCCCAGCCTCTGAATGATGCTTGCCCGAGACTCAAGCCCTGCCTAGGAGAACAGTTCGCCAAGCAGCTGGCAGTCGTGGACACCTCGGGGAGGTTTGTCTGGTACATTTGTCCCAGTCTTAGCTGCTCCTAAGATTTCCAATTAGAAACAGCGTGAAGTGGCAAGGACAATGATACCTAGAATCCCAGCGAGACCACAATAGGCCTGTGGGGAAGGCTGCACAAAATGCAGCTGCAGGCAGGGCATGGTGGCTCACACCTGTAATCCCAGCACTCTGGGAGGCTGAGGCAGGTAGATTCCTTGAGCTCAGGAGTTCAAGACTAGCCTGAACCAGAGTGAGACCTCATTTATAAAAATAGCTGGGCATTGTGGTGGGCACCAGTGGTCTTAGCTACTTGGGAGGCTGAGGCAAGAGAATCACTTGAGCCCAAGAGTCTGAGGTTGCTGTGAGCTGTGACAGCACCACACTCTACAGAGGGTGACAAAGTGCAAACAAAACAGAACCAATTGCAGCTGTAAAATTAACAATAAATACTGAGCACCTACTGTATGAACCATGCCCTGCTGGATGCCTGGAGTACAGAGACTGGTCAGGCATGGGCTCTGGTGGTGCAGGGCTTACAGGTTAGCAGGGCAGAGGCAGATCACAGATCATGAGTGTGCGTGGCAGGAGGAGGTCACACAAGTGCTAAACCCCCCATTTGTTTCTACACCTAAGTATTTCCTAGAGACTTACAATCTGCCTGCAACTTTAGGGACACTACAGTGAACAAAACAGACTTGGTCTCTGCCCTCAAGGATTTCACAGTCTAGCAAGAGAGCTGACAGGTTTTTAATTGTACAAATATAGTCAAGCTAATGACAGGGACACCATTCTGAGATACGTGTCTGCAGGCGCCTTTGCCATCACGTCAACACCCTAACAGATCTGTATGATGAGCCGGCTACACCCCCAGGCTGTGTGGCACAGGCCAGTGCTGCTGGGCTGCAAAGCTGCACAACACGTGGCCGTACCCAAGATGGCATCTGTGCATCTAAACATAGCAACAGTGCGGTGAGACCGTGTGACCACAGTCTGACGAGGCCACTTCATATAGGTGGTCTATGGTTGACTGAAACATCACACAGGGCACGATTGTGTGTCCTCAACTACAACGATCATAAGTGCCACAAAGGAACTAGGGAGGCTGGAGCCCAGATTACTCAGGGGGGAACAGGAAAAGCTTCCCTGAAAAGCCATAGCTATGCTGAGATTTGAAGAAGAATGTGGAGGGTGGGTGTGAGGAATCAGTCAGGAGGAGGGGGCAGTAAGAGTTCTGTAGAGAGGAGAGAACGCAGGAAGGCTCCGAGGCAGGCAAGCTCCTGGCTGCTGGACACTTGGGAGGGCTGGAAGGATGAGGCTGCAGGGATGACCTAGTAGGGGCAGAGTGAGGCCAGCGTGTGAACAGAGAGCAGGTCGTGCAGGACTTGTGACCTGTGATGTCAGCCGTCTTCCTAAGCAGAGTGGAGGGACATACTGGCTGCAGTATGACACAGCAGAGAGGGCCCCTGTGTAAGCAAAAAAACCAGTCAGGGGCTTTTGCAACAAGCCAGCAAAAGTCGTAGAGGTTTTGGGTGATGAGCTACAGAAAGTGCCCATGGAATTAGAAGGACGTGGTGGCTCATGAGAAAGAGTGGACTGGTCTTGACATTGAGTTGGATTTGTAAGAGAAGGGTGTTGAAGGAGACTCCAGATCTGCTCTCATCCAGCCAATGGCCCATCCACCAGGTGAGGACCACGGGTGGCGAAGCCTGTTTGGAGGATGCATGGATGCCCTCATGTGGATGAGAATTTTTCATGTGAAACAGGTGGGGCTGGGCTGGGAGTCTTGGCCATCTGGCCAACCAAAAACCATGGGCATTCCCAGGGTGGGCGTGGGCAGTGAGAAGGCCCAGAATGACCCTCTTGCCTTGTGATTCCCTCTTCTTGTCCAGCACCAACAAGAAATGGTGTCACTGTCCAGGGCTCTCATATTGTCCAGCACACGCTTGTGCTATCTCCAAGCCAGTAGTACAGTTTATGAACACACAACCGGGAACATTCCCAGCCCTTACTAATGATGTTCATAACCCCCAACCTTCATCACGGCAGCTGCAATTCCATAGGCCACGTCCACTAATGACTGATAATTTGGCAGATTTCTCTTACCCCTCTGGAGGTAAGAACTTGGAAGGTTCTTCTCTGGACCCCTCACCATGCAGAATGTGGGTAAGCACAGGCTCAGAGCTGGGAGACCTGGCCTGACCCTACAGGACAGAGACATGTGGACCCTGCACTCTGACATTCTGGGACTAGAATCTCTTTGGTTCAACAACCTCAAAACTACCCCCCTCCCCACTCGTCTCCCTGTGGCAGTTGAATAATTAACTGAGACAATGCTGTGCTTAGAGAGATTCATCAGGAATGAAGGTCAATGAATACAGCTTGTTGTTTAGCAGCACCTCTAAACATCACCTTACTCTGAAATCGTCACAATGTATTTTATAAAAAATACTTACTTGATGAATGGAAAGACTCTTTTTAACACATAAAATGACATCAGCATCTCTTGCATCTCATCAGTGTCTCTATGGCAGAATAATGCCATATACGCCAGGCAGGTCCAGCAGAATTTAAAAATGCTACAAAGTCCTGCATGACCCAGTGAACACGACTGTGCTTTAGAGAAAATAACACCAAGCACCTGCCAACATTCAGTAACAAGGACTTGGTATTCTCTAGCGTCAGGGAAAACGTGCTGGCTTGACGTCTCCTGTTTCCAAAACAAATGGCAAATAGAACCTGTTACGAATGCCCACAACGAGGCCAATTCCTCAGGGGGGAATGCCCACAACGAGGCCAATTCCTCAGGGGGGAATGCCCACAACGAGGCCAATTCCTCAG